GAGTGGAGGTCAAAGGAAGAGACTGCCAAGATAGATGTGAAGGAGGAAATTAGAAAAGCCATGAAGGAGTTGAACTGCATTCCTGAGGTCGCCGGGTTGAGTTATGAAGACCTGTGCATTCATCTGAATTTGGACCTCCCGAAAAGGTTCAAGGTGCCAAAATTCGACATCTTCGGAGGAACGAGGAACCCATTAGCCCACTTGAGGGCCTACTGTGACGAACTCGTGGGAGTTGGGAGAGACAAAGCTTTGTTAATGCGGCTTTTTAGTCGAAGTCTGAGCGGAGAGGCTCTAGAATGGTTTACTCTCATGAAACGAGACAGTGGTCTAGCTGGAATGTTTTGGCTAAGGACTTCATCGAACGATTCGCCTACAATGTGGAGATCGTTCCTGATCGTTACTTCTTGGAGAAGATGAAGCAGAAGTCGATCGAAAGTTACAGAGAATTCGCATATAGATGGCGAAAGGAGGCAGCTAGAGTTAGACCTCCCATGTCAGAAAAGGAAATTGTCGAAGTATTTGTGCGGGTGCAAGAGCCCGAATATTATGACAGAATCATGTTGCTCGTTGGAGCAAAATTTGCTGAGATAGTCAAGGTAGGTGAGACTATTGAAGATGGATTGAGAACCGGGAAGATTGCCCGTGTTGCTGCCTCACCCGGATCTTCGGGCTTGCTGAAGAAGAAAAGAGAGGATGTGTCCTCTATCTCTTATGAGGGGAAGAAGACCCCAAGGAAATCATCATCATACCAAGGTTATTCTCGACCTTCACATAGTACGTACCCGGCTTTTTATGCACAGACTGATTACCAAAATACCCCTCCCCCCAGTTAACAAAATGCTCCCCCTACTATCTACCAAACTCCCCATCAAGTTTATCAAACTCCATCTCATCACTATCGAAATGCCGCCCCCAACTGTGCCAACATTCAGACAAATTACCAAACACCTCCCGAAATGTACCAAACCCCAGCTCCATTTTACCAAAATACCCCCTCGAACTACCAAGCTCCATAACCAAACTACCAAACCAACTCATATCCCAGATAGCAAGCCCCCCGTCCGAATGCTCCAAATTATCGCCAAATGCCTCCCCCTCAACAGGGTAATTATGATCCCTCCCATCCCAGATTTGAGAAGAAACCTACTAGAATTTTCACTCCGCTTATTGAAAGCCGAACAAAGTTGTTCGAGCGATTAACTGCAGCAGGATATATTCATTCAGTGGGGCCCAAGCCGGTTGACACTAGCTCAAAGTTTTACAGACCTGATCAGAGGTGTGCGTATCACTCCAACAGTGTTGGACATGATACCGAGGATTGTATCAACCTGAAGCATAAGATCCAAGACCTGATTGACCAGAATGTGGTCTCTCTTCAGACAGTCGCGCCCAATGTCAATAGTAATCCTTTGCCAAATCATGGAGGCGCCACTATCAATATGATAGAGACAGATGATGATTGGTGCGTGACAAAGGCAATAATTCTGATTGCTCCTGAGGAACTGGAAAGGGCTGTAGCTTCATTGAGCATCAGAGAGAAGAAAGAGTTTGTGATTCTGACACCCGAGAAGGCTGTTGCCTTGGTGCCGAGAGAAACTCTTACCCGACCAAAATTTGTTATTGAAACGGCTGTTACTCAAGGCATGACTAGATCCGGCAGGTGCTACACGCCAGAAGAGTTAGCTCAAGGAGGGCAGAAAAAGGACCAAACAAAAAGGCCGATCAGTGAAGCCGAGGCCGAGGAGTTGTGGAGAAAAATGCAGCCGAAAGATTATTCGATTGTGAAGCATTTGGAGAAGACGCCGGCTCAGATCTCTGTGTGGGCCTCATTAATGAGTTCACAGGTACATAGGCAGGCTCTGATGAGGGCTTTGGATGATATGTATGTGCCTGTGGGTACTAACAGTGACAATTTAGCAATCATGATAAACCAGGTCATCCGAGGACACCGAATCAGTTTTTATGACGAAGAGTTGCCCTATGAAGGGAGGATGCACAACAAAGCTCTGCACGTCACATGTATGTGTCGAGACAAGATAATTAATCGCATCTTGGTCGATGATGGATCCGGTCTTAATATTTTCCCACTTTCGACTCTGAGGCAGCTAAAATTTGATTTGGGAAAGCTTCACCAGAACCAAATCAATGTGAGGGCTTTTGATGGAGTGCAAAGAGACACATTGGGTGCGGTGAACTTGGATATTCAGGTGGGTCCTGCGGAATTCAACGTCGAGTTCCAGGTGTTGGATATCAACACCAGTTACAACCTGCTTCTGGGAAGACGTTCATTCATATGGTTGGGGCTGTGTCTTTTACCCTTCACCAACTAATGAAGTTTGTTTGGAAGGACCAGGAATTGGTCATTTATGGTGAAGGGAGTCATTCCAATGGGTATGCACCGATCGTTGATGATGTCTCTAGAGGTTGTGATTTCTACACGGTGGAGCTGGTAAATGCCATCGGTGATGACTTGGCTCCACAGCCTCCTATGCCTGCCGTGTACAAGATGATTGCTACTGTCATGCTCTAGAATGGTTTTGAACCAGGTTTCAGATTGGGGAAGCACTTTCAAGGAATCGTCGAGCCCATCCAAATTCCCGTCAAAGGAGCAAAGTTTGGTTTGGGGTATGTCCCCACAGATGCTGACGAAGCCGAGGTGAAGAACAAGATTAGTGATCAAGCATTGGCCAGGCCAATTCCTCATCTGTACCAATCATTCCCGATGCTAGGATATGTCAATGATGATGGTCTCAGGGAAGGAATCTTGGGCCTTTTTGAGGAGATTGATGCGGTCATCGAAGAACAAGCTGGGACATCAGGCATCCGTGATGCAGAACCTGAGGAGCAATTGCAGAATTGGACCTCTACACCGCTCCTGATTTCCCGTGCAGCTTGGTAGAAAAGACATGTGTCTTTGTTCATTTTTAAAAAAAAAAATCGGTGGTAGTCCGGAAGAGGCCCAAGACCTACCCTTTATGCAGTTTTATTTGTTTGAAGTTTTTAAATTCCCTTGTGATGTTTAAAATGACAAAATGGCCCTTGGCCATGGCCAAAGTTCGTTCTTTCTTTTCAATTTAAATGAAAGCCTCTTTTATAAAAAAACTGTTACTTATCTGTTTATATTTTATTTTCCTAACTTTGTTTGTTTATGATTTCAGTAATATTAACTTAAAACCTGCCAATGTCATGTCGTGTCACGAACCGAGTGAACAAAATGAGGCAGGTGATGATGAGTGTGAGGAATATGAAGAAGAAAATGAGGTTCCCGAACATGTTGCTGAAGAGTTTCGACAATTCGAAAATCAACATAAGCCAAATTTGGAAGAAACCAAACTGTGAATCTCGGAGATGAGGAATGTGTTAAAGAAGTAAGAATCAGTTTCCATCTGACGGAAGCTCAAAGAAGAGACCTGGTTCGCTTCCTTAGGGAGTACATTGATGTATTTGCCTGGTTTTATAAAGACATGCCAGGGCTGAGCACAAATATAGTGTCCCACAAGTTGCCGATCAATCTAGATTTCAGTCCAGTAAAACAAAAGACTCGGAAGTTCAAGCCTGAGTTGAGTTTGAAGATCAAATAGGAGATTACAAAGCAGATCGAGTCCTAAGTAGTGGAAGTGACGCAGTATCCGACTTGGTTAGCTAATGTTGTTCCGGTTGCCAAGAAAGACGGAAAAATTAGAATTTGCGTTGATTACAGAGATCTCAACAAAGCTAGCCCGAAAGAAAATTTTCCATTGCCAAACATTCACATCCTCATTGATAACTGTGCTAACCATGAGATGCAATCGTTTGTGGATTGTTATGCGGGTTATCACCAGATCCTGATGGATGATGAAGATGCAGAAAAGACAGCTTTCATTACACCTTGGGGTGTATATCATTATCGGGTGATGCCTTTTGGTCTCAAGAATGCCGGTGCTATTTATATGAGGGCCATGACAACCATCTTTCATGATATGATTCATAAGGAGATCGAGATGTATGTAGATGATGTCATAATCAAATCCCGCGAGAGTTCGGATCACTTGACTCACTTGAGGAAATTCTTTGACCGTCTACGCCGATACAATTTGAAGTTAAATCCCGCCAAATGTGCTTTTGGAGTACCGGCTGGCAAGTTGTTGGGGTTTATAGTTAGTAGAAGTGGCATTGAGCTTGACCCTTCCAAGATCAAGGCGATCTAGGAATTACCTCCTCCGAAGACCAAGAAAGAGGTGATCAGTTTTTTAGGAAGGTTGAACTACATCAGCCGATTCATAGCTCAATCCACCGTGGTGTGTGAACCCATCTTTAAGTTATTGAAAAAAGATGCCTCGACCAAGTGGACTGGAGAATGTCAAACTGCTTTTGACACCATCAAGAACTATTTGTCCAATCCACCGGTGTTGGTCCCTCCGCGAGAAGGGAGTCCGTTATTGCTATATTTGTCTGTCTCAGATAACGCATTGGGATGCGTACTTGTTCAACATGATGAAATTGGAAAGAAAGAGCGAGTCATTTATTATTTGAGCAAAAAGTTCACTCCATATGAGGCTCGTTACACTCTTTTGGAGAGAACGTGTTGTGCTTTGACTTGGATCGCTCAAAAGTTGAGACATTATTTGTCTTCTTATACCACATACCTTATTTCCAGGATGGACCCGTTGAAGTATATTTTCCAGAATGCAATGCCGACTGGGAAGCTGGCTAAATGGCAAATGCTTTTGAGTGAGTTTGACATTGTGTATGTGACTCAAAAGGCGATAAAAGCACTAGCCTTGGCCGATCATCTTGCAGAGAATCCAGTTGATGAGGAGTATGAACCGCTCAAGACCTATTTTCCTGACGAGAAAGTTTCATTTGTGGGTGAAGATATTTCTGAAGCCTACCCTGGTTGGAGAGTATTCTTTGATGGAGCGGCAAATCACCAAGGGAAAGGTATCGGAGCGGTCTTAGTGTCAGAATCTGGTCAACACTACCCTATGGCGGCTAAACTCTGATTTAATTGCACGAACAATATGGCTGAGTATGAAGCTTGTATCCTTGGTTTGAAGATGGCCATCGACATGAATGTTCATGAGCTTTTGGTTATTGGAGATTCAGATTTATTGATTCATCAGGTTCAAGGAGAATGGGCCGTGAAGAACCCAAAGATCACACCATACGTGCAGTATATACAGAATTTGTGTAAAAGATTCCGCAAAATTGAGTTCAGACACACTCCCAGAACACAAAACGAGTTAGCCGATGCTCTTGCCACCATCGCCTCAATGATTAAACATCTAGATACAAGTTATATCGATCCAGTGGATATAGAGGTAAAAGAGCAGCCTGTCCATTGTTCGCATGTTGAACCGGAACCATATGGTTTGCCCTGGTATTTTGACATCAAGAAGTATTTAGAGGACATGACTTATCCTGAGAATGCAACGTTCAACCAAAAGAAGTCGATACGCCGCATGGCCCTCAATTTCTTTGCAAGTGGGGAAATCCTTTACAGGAGGACTCCAGATTTAGGTCTTCTCAGATGCGTCGATGCTGATGAAGCTGCAAAGCTTCTGGAACAGATACATGCCAGAGTTTGTGGTACTCATATGAATGGGCTCACTTTGGCAAGAAAGATCCTCCGAGCCGGCTACTTTTGGATGACTATGGAACATGATTGTTTCAAGTTTGTGCAAAAATGTCATAAATGTCAAGTGCATGGTGATTTGATTCGAGTGCCGCCTCACGAACTTAATGCTATGAGTTCACCTTGCCCTTTTGTAGCTTGGGGCATGAATGTCATTGGTCCGATATAGCCAGTCGCCTCTAACGGACACAAATTCATTTTGGTTGCCATTGACTACTTCACCAAGTGGGTGGAAGCAGCTTCGTATAAGTCGGTCACCAAGAAAGTTGTAGCTGATTTTGTTCGCAACAATTTGATATGTAGGTTTGGAGTGCCAGAATCCATCATTACTGATAATGGAGCGAATCTCAACAGTCACTTGATGAGAGAGATATGTGAACAATTCAAGATTACCCACCGAAACTCAATCTTTTATCGTCCCCAAATGAATGGAGTCGTAGAAGCCGCCAACAAGAACATAAAGAAGATTTTGAGAAAAATGATTGATAATCGCAGAGGTTGGCACGAAATGTTGCCATATGGTTTGTTGGGTTACCGAACGACTGTCAGAACATCAGTTGGAGCTACTCCATATTTGCTAGTATATGGAACAGAAGCAGTTATACCTGCCGAAGTCGAAATACCCTCCTTGAGAATCATCCAAGAAGCTGAATTGAATGATGCTGAATGGGTTCGCAAACGGATCGATCAGTTAACATTGATTGATGAGAAGAGAATGGTCACTATTTGTCATGGTCAGTTGTATCGACAGAGAATGATTCGTGCTTTCCACAAGAAAGTAAGAGCCAGAATGTTTGAGGTTGGTTAGTTGATTCTCAAACGTATTTTCCCTCACCAGGATGAATATAAAGGGAAATTTGCACCAAATTGACAAGGACCCTACTTGGTTCGCAAAGTGTTATCTGGAGGTGCCTTAGTCCTGTCGGAGATGGATGGCACCGAATGACCGAAACCGATCAACTCAGATGCTGTCAAGAGATACTACGTGTGAAGTTTCAGTTTGTATTTCTGTCATTTCCTTGTAATCGTCATATTTTCTTGTAATCGCCTATGTTTAGAATTTTATCCCTCTTGAAATGAACTACGTCTGACCTGAATTCTCAAGAATGAGATACGTAGGCGGCCTATGTCGGGCTCGATCGGTTTCTTTGTAAATTTCTTATTTTGTTAATCACTGAAGGGGAACTACGTTTGACCTGATTCCTGCCTCAACGGGATACGTAGGCGCCACAAGGTCTCGGTCATATTTCCCATAAAGATTTCTATTTCTCTTTACAATAGAAACTGTGACAGAATTTTTGAGAGGGACTCAAAAATTCTCGAGAAGAAGTCTTCCCAACAAAGTCAAGACTGAAGTCACTTTGAGATTTGCAATTGGGACAGAATTTTTGAGAATATCTCAAAAATTCTGTGATTTGCTCACCAACGATTAAAGATAAGCCAAGACAGTTAACTGGGACAGAAATTTTGAGATGGCCTTAAAATTTCAACAAGGTTCATCGACAGTTTAGAACAACTTTGAATACTTCCCAACAAGTAATCAGATAGATCTCGAAACATCAACTCCAAATGGCATTCATTAAGCTTGACGTGACATGACACTTGGCACTGATCTTTTCTAAAATTTATATTTTTGAAAATTTATTTCCCTTAAAAACCGTCTTTCATGCATCAATCATTTCGCATAAAAATGTTTTGTCTTATCTATCAAGAAGCGGGAGATCAGAAAAATCAACCGGAGATAGCAACACAAGGAGCAGACAGTCGAAGAGATCAACACAGATCAGTTCATTTTTAAACTAACAATTTTTCTGTGGATGCAGGTCTATAGGTTTCCCCAAAATCAGCATATTCTTCCATTAAATGAATATGGAGAAGTCAAAAGGGCGAGGAGCTCCCAAAAATTGACAATTTTTCTGTGGATGCAGGAAATACTTTATGTTTCTTACATCAAGGACTCGGGAATATGAATAACATCATTTCATTCAATTCCTAACAAGGCGAAATCCATAATGGCCATACGATTATGTTCAGTGTGGTGACAAATAAAAACCTCGAAGAGAGAAATTTTATTTATTTTCCAGTAACTAAAGATATCTGGAAGACATTTATCTGCATTATATTATCAGATATGATAATCTTCCTACCCTGAAGGTTATTTATATCGTATTGTCAAATGAGACGATACCACTACGCCGAAGGTCATTTTTATTTATATTGTCGATTGAGGCGATATTACTACCCGAAGAGTCATTTATATCGTATTGTCAAAAGAGATGATACCACTACTCCGATGGTCATTTTTATTTATATTGTCGATTGAGACGATATCGTCGTCCAAGAGATACCCAGAAGATCACCTATGTTGTTGGGTGAAGCATCATCTTCGTTCGGTATCAGGGAGGCATCATAAAAAGAATCATGCATCACGGGAAAAGATTCATGCATTGCAAGAGAAAGAAATCATGCATAGCAAGAGAAAAGATTCATGCATCGCGGAAAAGTCATGCATCACGAGAAGAAGAAATTAGCATGGCAAGAGAAAAGTCATGCATCGCGGGAAAGAGATTCATGCATAACAAGAGAAGGAATCATGCATCGCGGAAAAGAAGTCATGCATTGCGGGAAAGAGATTCATGCATAGCAAGAGAATGATTCATGCATCGCGGAAAAGAAGTCATTCATTGCTGGAAAGAGATTTATGCATAGCAAGAAGAAGAAACCATGCATTACAAGAGAAAAGTCATGCATCACGAGAAAAAAGATTCATGCATTGCAAGAGAAGATTCATGCATCGCGAGAAAAGAGATTCATGCATCGCGAAAAAAAGTCATGCATCACAGAGAAAAAACTCATGCATCGCGGGAAAGAAGTCATGAATCACGAGAAAAAGATTTATGCGTAGCAAGAACAAAGAACCATGCATAGCAAGAGAAAAGATTCATGCATCGCGAGAAAAGAGATTCATGCATCGCGGGAAAAAGAGTCATGCATCACGAGAAAAAGGATTCATGCATCGCGGAAAATGAATTTATGCATCGCAAGGGAAAGATTTACCCATCACAAAAAAAAATCAACATCAACTGCATCATTTTTTTTGCAAAAAAACAACGAAATCAAGAGAACCGTCAATATATTACACATCCTATTTTATTACTTTGATATCAAAGGAAGAGTACATTAAAAATTATATTGCAAATATGAGGCACAAACTTTATTTGCTTCACGTCAAACCCGATAGAGTTGACGTCAAATATTCAAGGAGAACAATTAAGTGACAACACGGTAAAAGACACTGTCTCCCATTTAAATTGCATTTTTTATGCTAATGAGTTTTATCTCAGTCTTTGTCGAGAACATCCGAAAGGATGAATCTTCCAAAACAAACCACAGGTGCGGACGACATCAAAAAGGATGCAGCACAACGTGAAACTTTTCTTAACAGCGAACTGGGACATAGTCCAAAGAGGTGTGTCAAACTCTTAGGATGCGAGCAGAGGAGCGACTTCCACCACAATCAAACCACACCCCTATCAGAAGGCATGTGGGTTTTTCTTAGATTTATCAGTTCTTATTTTACATTCGAAAATTTTTGGGTTCACCGGAAGCAGTTTTCCAATCTGAGTGACAATGCACCAAGAGCCTTAGAAATTATGTCCGTGTAAGTTCTTAATTATGGGTGTGAAGTGCACCACATTCATGACTAAGAGGTTGCAAGCCTCCTTTTCATACTCGACTCATTTTTCACTCTTCCTGAACAAAGGTTATCTTGCATAATAGATCTATTTTCCAATCGATCGAGTCGAACTACAAGCAGCCTGATTCCTTGGGTTGAGGGATATGTAGGCAGAATCGATGTTGAAACTCGGCTGTATTCCAACATTCGCTCTTAAATTTTATTCTCAAGCATTCCGGTCCCTTCATAATTCGGTCTCGGGATGACTTTGAATTCTTTCAAAATCGTGCGTGAAATCAAGCGTATCGAACTACAAGTGACCTGAATTCTCATATAGCCTGAGATATGTAGTAAACCCATTTTCGGGGTTCAGCCATAACTCCTCAAGTCCATACCAAATCCCTTTTCCGAAAGATGAGGATGTGGTCAGTCAAAATTGGATTAGTCAATTTCATTTTCCTCGGATTTCTCACATCAATACTAGTAAAACGAGGGACAGTTGTTGACACCTAATTTTGACCATCCCCGATAAGAATTAACTTTCGAGCTTCTTAATTTTCAATGATTTGAATTAATTAGTTTTACAAAAAAATTCAAAAAAAAGATATATATTTTTTTTTGAAGCAATTTTAGTCATGTTAAAATGACATATATGTTTTTTATATAAATTTTGTATGTACTTGTTACATTTCCTGCGAACATTCAAAAAATCATTTCAAAAAAAAAAGAAAAGGATTTTACTTTCTAAGTGTTTTATTAATTAGCTCATTTAATATTAGTTTATATTTCCAAATCAATTATTTCACAAGTAAGTTAATTATTTTTGTTTTGTTAGGATTAAAGAGCTCGTAAATTAATTATGTTAATTTATCTTATATGAATTCTAGCCGAATCTTCTAAAAATAATTCTTTTGGTTACCTCTTTAATTTGTTGGTTAAATTGTTAATTAATTTTATTACAATTTTGGCCAAAAGCTAACATGTTATTTCCAACCCATTAAATGACTGATTTTGGGCCTTCTGCAATTTTCCAGCCCACCAATTCATAACCCCACAGATTCCCTCTTTCTCCTTTAGTTTCCAATTGAACCGACCCATTCCAAAATAAGCATCAAATGCATATAATACATATAATGTACAGCAGTACCAATCGGCAAGCCAACACTTAAATCAACCTATCGTCCTTTTTCTCCAATCGATAACACCGCCCAACCCGATTCCACCAAGTCGACCCGACCCCACTGCATTTTTTCTTCTTCTTCGTGTGACCAGACGCAAAACCCAGAAGCTACAACGTCAAAATACAGCAATTCCAGACGCGTGAAAGAGCAGTACTCTGCTTTCCCTTGGCTTC